GAGCATGATTTTCATTCTGGGGCCTTACCATTCCACCTAGACAGGAGGAAAATAATTTCTTCTTGTTGGAACTCAATGTTACTTAATGGGATTAACTCTGTGGGGCAGGAGATGGCCTGCAATGCAAGTGGAAAGTTTGGGATCCTGATTTAATGTGTATTAATACACACTCATACTGTACATAGCAGCATGCACACAGAGGAGAGGACACAGAGTACCTCCCTCTTGTTGAGCTATGGCTGTACTGTGCATTTGTACAGTTTTAAAGAGATCTATGCCAACAATTTTACATACTTGATAAATGCATTCAGATGCTAAGATAAAGAAGTTTTGTTCACTTGCCTGTGCCCTTCATGCTGCTTTTCTCTGCTGCAAGATAACATGGTGGTGATTTTATTTCAAATTAATGGATCTGAATATGAAATGGCCCTGCTAAAAGCCTGCTGTGTTTTTGCTGTTCTTTACTTTACCCTTGATGTAAGTGAAGAGGGTACCACAGTGAGCACTCCAATATGTTTGCCCTTATCTCACTGTTTTATAACTGACTTTTATAACTGGCCTCAGCATGTGTGTTTGAAGAACCTTTAGTCAACTCATCTGCCTTTAGGTGGAGGACACATACAGTGGAGAGAATCAGTTGAACACAGTCACCCTAGCCAGTGCTGAAGCATTTTGAAGAGAACTGCAAATAACAATAACGTAAAAGGGAACTTTTTGAGCCAAAGTCTGTATATGACCAATTGATCCTCAAGGATGCACGAGATTATCCTTTCCATTGCCTTAGCCTCTAACATTAGGGATGTGTCTGCACAGCAGTAACAGCTGAGGCTTCCTTCAAGCTAGTTAACTGAGGAACTGCAGCAATTTAGTCATGGTAACAGGGTTCAGTTTTGGCTGCAAAACACACTTGAAAAGTAGGATTAATTAATAGTCTATGCTGGGCTCCTAATGCCATAACTACGTAGCTTCTGGCACCCAAGCTAGGTCAGGTACTTCAGCAAGTTACTCTACTCTGCTCTCATTAGGGACAAGATAATCGCTGAAGATTGTTTAAGAAAGTTGAACCAAACACAATTAACCTTTGAAACCTCGGATCATCTTTCACATCCTGTTGAAAACAGCATTCAAGTGATGAGAGAACCAGGTCGCTGACAACACTGCAGTGAGATCTGTGGTGGAACATCCTATCTATGCTATCCTTCTCTTGATCGTAACATTTCATTCTTGATTTGCTGTTGCCTTGGATCTTCACATGTCAAAGTATATGGGTAAAAAGTCACAAATGAGCAATAGTTCTTACAGATACCATTGAGTTTGATTTGATTTTCCCCTCAACTTGTCAAAAAGTCAATTGTACAAGTAGGCAGAAGGTAGTAGTGTAATTAATAAAATGTGTATTTGAAAGCTGTGGTTAGGAAAGCTTTTGAAAGCTGGTTAGGAAACAGAAAGAAGTGGCATATAATTAATTTCACTGTAAAATAAGGAAGACCTATGAGCATCTGGATTTTAAAGTGGATCTTTATGTGCTGCTCACCATTATGGACTTTTTAAATCTGTTAAGGATGCTTAGAACAAAGAAATGAAGGTAATGGGGGTTTGTGGAGGTCTTTGAGGTCTGAAACAAGAGGAAGACACCCTGCATATAATGGTTATGCTGAACTAGCAAAAATGCAACAAAATGCGTTTATGCCAACAGAGGTTCTACATTTGAATAGAGGGAGAAAATCAAATTAAGTTTTTAAAACTGAATATTCTAATTAAAATGTGCTGAATGCGAAAAGTAGGTGGCTGTTGGTGACCACTTGCTAACAGGAAACAAATTTATATTTCATTTAAGACATTGTACAGCATCTGTGTCTGAAACATAACATAGCTGAGAAATTACTGATAGTTGAGCATATGTATTTTCCAATAATTGTGTAAAAAATTGTGCAAAACTTCATATGCTCCTTATTAAGAAGAAAATGAAATATAGGGTCTGGGGTTAGAATAAGTTCAGGAAAAAAAAGCCGGTTTCTTTCAGATTCTCTGGATGCAAGTGTCTTATATGTGAAGCATATTCTTCCTTGTCTATTTTTCCATTATGTTTGTTTTTCTCTATTTTTTCTCTATATGTAAAACCAATACCAGTTTTTCTGAAGGATAACTTGATCTTGTTTATGCAGTAGTGTACAGTCAGATTAATTCTACTGTCCTTAATGTTTGCTGCAACAAGATGACAGAGCACAGTAATAATGCAATAACTGCAGAAAATATTTCCGTTTCGGTTCACTATAAAAAAGGCCATTGTCCCAATGTGCTGATCTGTAAGGTGGAAGTATTTCCTCCAGAGGCTGCTAGCATGTCCTGACTGTGGGAATAACATTTGTTCCCCTTCATTTAACTAGTGGATTCCAGATGAAATGGAGGAATTGGTTGTATTTGTGTACCTTTGTCTCTCTGTCTAATCAGTTTGTAACCTTCAGGATTTGAGTTGCTGCCTGCCCTTCCATCATCAAAAGAGCTCACCATTCAGATGTAACAGTTGCTTTAAAATGTGAGATATGGATTGTTTTTGTGACAAATATAAAGGTCCTGGAAACACGATGTAGCAAGACATATTCCCATTTCTCACTTAGAGATCCATGAAGGCTGTTTTCAAGCACTTGCAGCCCTAATAACTACCTCTCTTCTCTTTCTCACATCACCAGTCAGCTGCAAATGTAGTGCCCAGGGTTTTGTATCTCCACCAAGCTCTCAGAGTCACTGCTGGTGTTTATTTCAGCACCCATCTGCTGCCAATAACTTGTCTGTCCGTCTACCACCATAATGCCTTTCTGATTTGGATGCTGAGGTAAACTTTAGCATGTGAAATGGCCGCCAAAGGGAAGCTATCCTGATTTCCTTTCTTCTCCCTTGGTGTTTAAAAACAGACTGCATACAAATACTTTGTATTCCTCACTCCCAAGTGAGGGATAACTTTCAGTAGCAGTTATGTGGCTGCGGTGAAGAAACACCCCCAGAGAATGCTGTGTGCCACAATTGAGAGTGAAAGATCCCTCACAAAAATTAAATCCATCACTCTTCACCTTTCAGTAAGGCCAGACATCAGGCTCATGGATTCCAGATGTTTTATAGCCCCTCAGCTGCTACGTGTGACCCTTCTGTTTGATAGATCCCTGTCCATAATCCAAAATCAACAAAAAAAATTGTGTTTTAATGAGGATCTTTCTTGCTCTGATAAATACTGGAAACCGTCAAAAGCAGTTTTCAAAATACATTTCTTTTTCTCTTTTGACTCCCTTTTATTGTAAATCTCTGTAGTGATTGGCTCTGTCAGCAAAATAAGGCATCAGATTTGTAGAGAGGCAAGGCTTTGGCTTTAGCTTAATAGAAGCTCACATGTGAATGTCTAGATAAGAGGTCAAGCCCTGATTTAACAGGAATTTGGAGTCAGAGTCTTGATGTGACTGAACAGCAAGGGCCTCCTACAAGGTGCTCCATTCCTCCTCAAGGTACTAGATAACATGGCAGGACAGCACCTTAAATCCCCGGTGTGCTGTGCTCTAAATGTACCCTGGTGAATGCTAAAAGCCATTGAAAAGTCACTAGTGAGGACTGCAACATCTGCTGCAAACCTAAGGAGGGGCACAATGCCACTGTAGGTGCAGTAAATGGCTCCTTCCATCAGGCATCCCAGATAGTGTAACAACAGCAAGTGTCTATCCACAGTGCTTGAGAAAATGTTTGACCGATGGTAGTAGTCTGGATTCAGGTGTGTGTATGCTGCGTGTGGCTTTTTTTACAATACTTTGATTTTACTGAGATGAAATGGGGACAAGGTGGCAGCCTGACAACTCGCAGGTAGGTAGGCATATACACTGCCTGCCTTTGTCTAAAGGATATACAGGGATGCGGCGTCAGACAGAAGCACGAGCATGTTCCTCTCTCTTTTTCACTCCTGTATGCTCACTACACATGTACTGCTCCTCTCATTACTGTTGAGGCGGGCTGTGCATGCGTGCATCGGCAGAGCCTGACCCTGTGCCGTGTTTGGATGATGGCTCTGCACTTCCAGGATGCAAGAAACACTTGTCTAAGCTCTAAGGACTATGACTGTTGATGTTTCTCCACAGGGAAAACTGCCAGGTACTTACAGGCTCTTAAAGAAAATAAACTGAAGCATTTTTGAAAGAGAAACCGTTTGGATATGGGCAACTGCTGAAAATTATTTGCAAACACTTGAACAACATGTAAGGCCTTTTCTTCCTTCCTTTTTTTCGAATGGGGCAGCAACTGGCTCAATTGGCATTTCAGATGCAATCCCAAGAGGTCCTGGCAAGCAGTTTAA